ACACACGCACACGCACAGGCACAGGCACACACACACACAGATACAGACAGACAGACACACGCCCTCTTGTACCTCTTACGTGATGTTGGATGGAAAGGTCCAGCAGCAGCATACAATTTTCCTTTATTCTTTCGTGGGATGTGTGTGTCACTGACAAGGCCAGCATTTGTTATGTGTCCCTAATTGCCCCTTACCTGAGTGGCCTGATCAGTCATTTCAGAGGGCAATTAAGAGTCAACCACATTGTTGTGGGTGTGGAGTCACATATAGGCCAGACCAGGTAAGGATGGCTGTTTCCTTCCCTAAAGGACATTAATGAACCAGATGGGTTTTTCCAACAATTGGCAATGGATTCATGGTCATCGTTACATTCTTAATCCCAGATTTTTATTGAGTTCACATTCCACCATCTGCCGTGGCGGGATTCGAACCCGGATCCCCAAAACATTACCTGGGTCTCTGGATTAACAGAGCAGATACCACTAGACCTAAAGTATATCCCTTTTAAAGTGTATAAGATCCAGAATGGTCCTGACAAGGTGAGACATGGAAAAGATGTTTCCCATTGTCGATGAGATGAGAACTGGGAGCACTTTTAAAATCAGGGGTCATCAGGACAGATGGAAGATCTTTTTTTCTCAAAGTGCTGTGTGACTTTGGAGCCCCTCTCCCTCAGGAGGTTGGGGGTGGGTGGGGGGGCAGTTGTTGAACGTTTATAAGGCAGAGGTGGATAGAGTCTTAGTTGGTCGGAGAATCAAAGGTTAGATTGGGCAGGGTGGGGGGATTGTGGGAAGGTTGGATTCAAAACACAAACAGATGGTATTGAATAGTGGAGCAGGCAGGTGGGGCTGAATGGCCTATATACCAAAGAACTGTCAAACATACATCATGGTATGACATGTTTTTGCTTAGAAAATGAGGGTAATTTGAGCTGCTTGGAATCCTTCACCCTGGTCCATTGTAGCTGTCGAGGAAACCAGTTCAGCAGGCCGTGTGATGGTCATCGTTGCTGCCCTCCCCTCACTGCCCATCAGGCTGAGGTGCTTGTGCCCAGTAGTGGCATTTGGAGACAACAGTGAGGGTTTGATATAAATGAAGATCTGTGAATCCAGCCCATTGCTCCAAGGGTCTGACCTTGATCTGAGCAGCCAGTACACCCCAGTATAAAGGAGAGTTTGGGGGAAGGGGAATGACAGACAGGCACTGACCCAGCTACCTGCAATTTTAAACCACGGCCATTGTTTCTCCCCCCCAGAGATTGTCCGTTTCCTGTTGAACCACCCGGTGAATGTGAATGACCCTGGGGGACCCTACTGTGAGGGGATCACACCACTTCACGATGCTATCACCTGTGGAAACTTCGATGTGGCTGAGCTACTGATTTTAAAAGGAGCCTCGGTGACAATGCGCAACGCCAAGGTAGGAAACGGGATCAGGTGGGAAACCTGGAAGCTGCCAGGGGGCAGCAATGCTGGGGCCAGATCGTGTGGATGGCTCGAGTTTTGAGCCTCTTAAACTTGGAGCCTGGCTTATCATTTTTTCATTTGCTCCAAATGCCTATTCCTGGAAGTTTTGTCCGAGAATTCTTTCCAAATTGCAGGTTAGAGATGATGTGCATATTGGAATGATCCCAATCAGACTCCGTTCCTGTGTATCTTGCCTGACGTTTAGCTGCTCTCTGCGGGTGAGTCAGTCTCTCATCGAATGTTCTACTGTCTGATCCTCAGGGTCACACCCCGCTGGACAGTCTACACGAGTGGAATCAGACTTACTGCAAACACCTGGATCAGGATACCAAACAGCAGTGCAAACGCATCGAGAAACTGCTGAGGAGCAGCTCAGCCAGAGGTGAGGAGGAAATCGGACCAATTGTGTTTGCAGGTTTATCTTACCAGCAATGTGAGGAAGACGGTGACCATCCCCCTCCCACTCTTATTGTTCTCCAGTCAGCTCAACTCCAACCCAGCACAGGAACGGGCTATTCAGCCTCCTCCCATAGAACATAGACCAGTACAGCACAGTCCAGGCCCTTTGGCCTGCGATGTTGTGCCAACCTATTGTCCTACTAAGATCAATCTACCCTGAATACCCTACGTTTTACTATCCTCCATCTGCCTCGCCAAGAGTCGCTTAAAAGTCTCTAAAGTATCTGACTCCACTACCACTGCTGGCAGCGCATTCCACGCGCCCACCACTCTCTGTGTGAAGAACCCACCTCTGATATCTCCCCTATACCTTCCTCCAATCACCTTAAAATTATGCCCCCTCATAATAGTCATTTCTACCCTGGGAAAAAGTCTCTGACTATCCACTCTATCTATGCCTCTCATCATCTTGTACACTTCTATCAAGTCACCTCTCATCCTTCTTCACTCTAATGAAAAAAACCCTAGCTCCCTCGACCTTTCCTCATAAGACCTGCCCTCCAGTCCAGGCAGCTTCCTGGTAAATCTCCTCTGCACCTTCTCTAAAGCTTCCACATCGTTCTTATAATGAGGTGACCAGAACTGAACACAATATTCCAAGTGTGGTCTAACAGAGTTTTATAGAGCTCTAGCATAACCTCGTGGCTCTTAAACACAATTCCCCTGCCAATGAAAGCCTACACACCATACGCCTTCTTTACAACCGTATCAACTTGGGTCACAACTTTGAGGGATCTATGGACGTGGACCCCAGGATCCCTCTGTTCCTCCACACTGCCAAGAATCCTGCCATTAACCCTGTATTCTGCATTCAAATTCAACCTTCCAAAATGAATCACTTCACACTTTTCTGGGTTGAATTCCATCTGCCACTTCTTTGCCCAGCTCTGCATCCTGTCAATGTCTCGTTGCAACCTACAACAGCCCTCCACGCTGTCCACAACTCCACCAACCTTCGTGTGATCAGCAAACTTACTAACCCACCCTTCCACTTCCTCATTCAAGTCATTTATAAAGATCACAAAGAGCAGAGATCCCAGAACACATCCCTGCAGAACACCACTGGTCACTGAGCTCCAGGCTGAATACTTTCCATCTACTACCACCCTCTGTCTTCTATTGGACACAAAAGTTTTGTATCCAGACAGCCAAATTTCCCTGAATCCCATGCCTCCTTACTTTCTGAATGAGCCTACCATGTGGAACCTTGTCGAATGCCTTGCTAAAATCCATCTACACCTCTTTAGAATTTTAATGGCATCCTTCCTCATGTAAATCTGCCTATACGCCGTTCCCTCTTAAACACACACAATATTGTGGGCAAGATGAACAGTATGTATGGGAATGAGGCCCACATTCTCACTGTCTGGTAAAGATCTTTGTGCTGAATTCCTGATTGGATTTCTTGATGGCAGTTTACATACAGAATGCCTCTAGTTTGGCTCCTCCCCACAAGTCGAAACACGCTGTGTATGCACTCAATGGGACAGTGTAGAGGGAGCTTTACTGTGTGTCTAATCCTGTGCTGACCCTGTCCTGGGAGTGTTTGATGGGGGACAGCGTAGAAGTCGCTTTACTGTATATCCAACCCTGTGCTGTCCCTGTCCTGGCAATTTTTGATGGGGATGGTGTAGCCCCGTGCTGTCCCTGTCCTGGGAGTGCTTGATAGGGATGGTGTACAGGGAGATTTATGTTCAGTTTATAGGTGTTGAGGAGGCTTTGCTTTGTATCTAATCCCATGCTGTCTCTGTCCTGTGAATGCTTGGTGCTGGTCAGTGCAGAGGGAGCTTTACTCTGTATGTAACCCTGCACTGACCTGGGAGTATGTGATGGGCTCAGTGTGAGGGAGCTTTGCTTTCCATTTGAAAGAATAGAGGAAGCTTTACTTTATCCCTATTCTGGGAGTGTTCGATGGGAATAGTGTAGAGAGGACTTTACTGTTAGTTTAAAAGAGTAGAGAGAGCTTTAATTTCATTTTAAAAAGGTCGAAAATGTTTTAATTTTAGCTTAAAATTAACTATTGGCATTATTATTAAATTAAATGTGCTTGACTTTGTTGCTTTTAGTGAAATATTGTTTTTACTTTTATTTCCTCTTCACAGATTTGCAGCCAGTTCAAGTCCTTCAAGACAGTGAACTGTTTGATTCTGAGAGTTCACAGCCACAGGAGTTAATCGAAGTGTGTGCTACTGCCTCTATGTCTGATCTCCCCAATGAGCGAGAGAGAGGATATCGGCGCAAGGATATGGTAGGTCAGTGTCGAAGCAGACCGGATTTGAGCACAGCTCCTGTGACCCAGACCAACCTGCTCTGGGCTCGGTTACACAGCACTGATGATCTGTCTGATGGCCCTGGCAAGCCTCTAGTGTCCAGTACCCAGATGACCACTCGCAACCGGCTGGATTGGTCTGCTCTCGGGGAGGAGGGCTCTTCTGAAGAGGAGGTTCCAGTGGAGCTGTGCCAACCGGTGAAGAAACGACACAGGATCATAGGTCAGATGTCTTCCACAGGCCCAGGACGGACAAACTCTAACAGTGGCCGATTACCCACTCTGGTTGATGACTCTGGTTCGAGTCAGGAAGAGGCGAGTGAGTGGCATTCGCCTGGGACAGGGCAGGAATGTGATTTTGATGCTCCCAGTGTTGGGACATCCACTTATGTGCAGGCTATCCGGAATTTAGGGAGTGCAAAATCCAGGATTTTATCCCAATCTTTAGCAGCGCCATCCGTTCAGCCAGCACCGGCCACCAGGAAGTCGGCGTTGATCCCAGATAGTGAGTACACGGAGGACAGCTGGCTGGACGATGATCTGGGTAATAGCCGAGCCAAGAAGAGACCCCGGGAACAGAGACATGTGGGCAGGGTCACTGACCCAGAGGAGCCTGGCCTCGGTGGCGAAGGTGATCCCAGTCGGAGCTCACATCTGCCTGGGAGCCGTGAGAGGACCACTGCGCAGAAAAAACGCTCAAAGCAGATGCGCATGACCCAGATAGTGGACAGGGTGGTGGTCAGGAGGACAGCAAATGACAGCAACAGCAACAATGTGAGGAGCACCTCCCTGGTCACTGGTACAACCAGCGAGCCAACATCAGCTTCCAGCTCACTGGTAATGTATGGAACCGTTCGGTATTCCACAGCGCTCTCCTCCCTGACCCTCTCAGACCAATCATCCCATCAGAATGAAGGGCCCATCAGTTCTATAGGGTGTCCCCCTGGGTTGGGCTGTGGCCCTACAGGGTGCCCCCTCCCAGGTCCAGTGGCCCTACAGGGTGCTCCCCCCCCCGGGTCAGTCTGCAGCTCTCACTAGTTTCTTGGTGTTACCAGCTCGGTGCTCAGTAACCCGTTGATCCTGTGCCCGTTCTCTTTCTCTCCCTCTCTCTCTCTCTCTCTCCAGGTTTCAACCCTACAGTTTGCACCTGTCACCCCAGCAGCACCTCCATCGATCAGAGTGAGGGTCAGAGTGCAAGATAATGTCTTCCTGATCCCAATAGCACACAGGTATGTTTGAGGCTGATTGGCAAGGGGGAAGGGTGTTGGTGGGTGTTGTTGGATTATAGAGTTATCAATAGCCAACTGAGTTTGATAATCCGATACCTCCAGACGATCAGCAGGCATGGACTGTACTGGCAGGAAATTTCAAATTCTGGGAGGCAGAGGACAGGTGAGGAATTAATCTGAAGAATATTTTCTTAATTCATGGAATATGTGTTCTTGGTTGGGCCAACATTTATTCCTCGGAGTAAACGTCACCAACGATCCATCCTGGTCCATCCACATTGATGCCACAGCCAAGAAAACACACCAACACCTCTATTTCCTCGGAAGGCTAAGGAAACGGGGCATGTCCACAACGACTCTGAGATGCACCATAGAAAGCATCCTATCCAGATGCATCACAGCTTGGTATGGCAACTGCCCAAGAAATTACACCGAGTTGTGAACACAGCCCAGTCCATCACAAAAACCAGCCTTCCTTCCATCGATTCTATTTACACTTCCCGTTACCTCAGGAAAGCAACCAACATCATCAAAGACCCCTCCCACCCCTGTTATACTCCCTTCCACCCTCTTATGTCAGGCAGAAGGTACAAAAGTTTGAAAGCAGATTTAAGAACAGCTTCTTCCCTGCTGTTACCAGGCTTATGAACAGACTCTCATATATTTGAGTTGATCTTTCTCTGCACCTTCTCTGTAGCTGTAACACTATATTCTGCATTCTGTTCTATTATCCTGATGTACTTACGTAAGGTATGATTTGTCTGGTTAACACGCGAAGCAATACTTTTCACTGTATCTCGGTACATGTTACAATAATAAATCAAATTATTGCCCAACCCTAGGTGAGCTGTCTTCTTGAACAGCTGCCATTCATTTGAACTGGTCAATCCTTTGTGAAGCAACTTCCAAATATTAAAGCCCTCTATCCAGTGATCGCTCAGCTCCTTACTAGTGCAGAATGCCAGCCTGTTCAATCTTTCCTGACAGGGATGACGTCTCTGCTGTCATTCTCGTAAACGCTTGTTCTTTCTCCGTTCCAAATATGGACATATGAACTGTGGAACAGTTCTCCCGAGCTTATTTCGTTCTGCCATGGGATGTAGGTGTCGCGAGCAAAGCCAGTATTCATTGACATCCCTGACTGTCCTTGATCAGAGGACCTTGTTCAGCCATTTCAGAGGGCAGTTATGAGACACCCACATTGCTGAGGGTCTGGAGTCATATGTAGGCCAGACCAGGTAAGGATGGCAGTTTCCTTCCCTAAAGGACATTAGTGAACCAGATGGGTTTTTATGATAATCAATAATACATTCACAGTCACTCGCTTTCAATTCCACAAGAGGGACAGCATGTCATCTTATGTTTAGGTGCCTTCAGGTCTCAACGTTAGGTAAATAATTTTACTGCGTGAACACCTCCTTCCATGTCGTTTACCCCACTGTCACACCCCACGTGCTGTTATGAAATAGGCTGCTTTCAGCACTGCTCACCCATTGTCTACAGCAGAATTAGCCAAGAAACTCAGCAGCTCTGGCAGCATCTGTGGAGAGAGAGGGAGAAAAACAGAGTTAATATTTTAGGTCCAGAGACCCTTCTTCAGAACCTGTGAGAAAAGGTCACTGGGCTCGAAATGTTAACTTTGCTTTTTCTCCACAGATGCTACCAGACCTGCTGAGTTTCTCCAGCAGTTTCTGGGGTTTTTTTTGTTTCAAATTTCCAGCATCTGCAGTTTTGTTGTTTTTTGTTTTAATGCTGTGGGGACAGCGGTATAAATCCCACCATTGCAGTTGGTGGAATTTCAATTTGATTAATTAATCTGGAATTGAAACACACGAAAGGGAATGCTGGATCACACCGTAGTTCCAGCTGAGAGTTTAACCTGTCTTTCCTCGTCCCACAGTGACACTGAGGTACGGACTGTTTCCTGGTTGGCAGAACAGGCCACTCAGCGACATTACCAAATGTGTGGGCTCCGGCCCAAGCTCATGCTGAAGAAGGAAGGGGCACTTCTGTCCCCACAGGATCCCATCATCCATGTTCTACAAAGCAACGAGGAGGTAAGACCAGCAACACTGTCTCAGCCTGGGGTTAGATACAGAGTAAACCTCCCTCTACACTGTCGCCATCAAACACTCCCAGGGCAGGGACAGCACAGGGTTAGATACAGAGTAAAGCTCTCTCTACACTGTCCCCGCATCAAACACTCCCAGGACAGGGACAGCACAGGGTTAGATACAGAGTAAAACTTCCTCTTCTCTTTCAAAACAGAAAATAAAGCTCGCTGTACTGACATTTTGTGACCAGCCCAATGTCTGGGTCAAAGCTGACCAAAGATGATGCTGTTCCCTCACAGCACTCTGCTTCGTGAGACACTGAGTTTGAGGTGACAAACTCACCTTTGCTTCCATTTGTGTTTTTCAGGTCCTGGCTGAGGTCGTGTCCTGGGATCTGCCTCCACTCTCTGAACGATACAAGAGGGCCTGTGACAGTCTGTCATTGGGTAAGGAGAGAGATGTTAACAACAGTCTAAGTGTTGTGATTTACTGATGACTCTCTAACCTCCTTTGGCTCTCCCGACCTTGCCAGATCTTGGTGATTCTCCATTCTGACCTCTTGTGTATCCAGTGACTTCCATCGCTCCAGTATTGGCTGCACCTTAAGCTTCCGAGGGCCCAAAGCTTTGGGATTCTCTCCCTCTTTCCCTCCCCTCCATCTTCAAACTGTGCACTCTTTGGTCTCCTGCCCTGAAACACTCAGTGTCCAGTGTATCTGATTGCGTATTTGCGATGGTTTCCCAGTTGTCCTTGTCACTGTTATGTTGGTATTGTTCTGAGCGGTTTCCCAGTTGTTGCTGATCTGGATATTCCTGTTCCTCTTTCTCTAGCTGTTAATGGTCTGGTGTTGAGGGTGTGTGAGACCCAGGAGAACAGTCCCTGCTTCCAGCTATCCAGCCTGTCGCTGACCAAGGAGCACCTGACCCCCCTCCTGCGGGCCCTCAAACTGCAGACCACTGTCCGGCAGCTCTGCCTCTCCGCCAATCGTCTTGGTGACGATGCCATGGAGGAACTGGTGGCCTGCCTGGTGACCATGCCCAACCTGTCCGTGCTGGACCTCTCCTCCAATCAGATCACACACCAAGGCCTGAGGACTCTCTGTGAGACCAGCAGAGTCTCCCAGGATGCCCCATTCCAAGTGAGTACCTGAACTTTGAGTTTGTTTTGTGCAGTCGGTGCTGTCTGTGCAAGTTCATTTAAACCGGAACAGTCCAGCCTGCGTCTTTGAAATGAAAAGCTGTGAAGAGTCCATTAACTCTCTAGCAACAGGGGCGAATCATGGAAGTTTGATACAGATTCTCAGTTAAACAGGCCATTCAGCCCCACTGTTCTGTGCTAGTGTTTATACTCTACACCTGTTACTAATTACCACTCCCCAGCCTAGTACCATGTAATGTCACTGGACTGTTAATTCATTGACCCAGTTTAACGTGCTGGGGATGAAAACAGAAATTGCTGGAAAAGCCCCGCAGGTCTGGCACCATCTGTGGAGAGAAGGACTCACCGATGCAGAGTCACTGGGCCTGAAACGTCAACTCTGCCTTCTCTGCACAGGTGCTGCCAGACCTGCTGAGCCTTTCCAGCAATTTCTGTTTTTGTTTCTGATTTCCAGCATCTGCAGTTCTTTTGGTTTTAATTTAATATTCTGGTGACATGGGTTTGAACCCATGAAAGTCTGAGATCAAAATCCTAATGGTGACTGTGTAACCATTGTCAACTGTTGTAAAGACCCCTCTGGTTCACCAGTTCTTTTTAGGGATGCCTACACGTGACTCCAGACCCACAGTAACACGGTTGACTCCTAACTAGGGTAATCAATGCTGGCTTAACCAGCAACACTCACATCCCATGGTCAAATTAAAAAGAAGCTTCCATTTCTGTACATTAATGTGATGAATCAGCACTTCACAGAGAGTTCCACATTCTCTTCACTCTGTGTGTAAAGAAGCTCCCTTCTCCATTCTTTATCTGTCAGTGGTGATACCTTGCTCTGGACATTCCCAGGAAGAGAAGTCATTTCTCTATCTCTCCCCTGTGTAACCTGATAGACCAGGAGACTTGCCAGATCCTGGAAGATGGGTTGTAGTTCTCGCCCACTCTTCTTAACTTGGGGAAGGATCTGAAGGTATTGGAGCAGCTGCAGCAAAGATTCACAAGGATGAGGGACTTCAGGGACACAAATAGTTTGGAGAAGACAGGGTTGCGAGGAGCTTTGAGAGACGTTTTCAAAATCATGAGGGTCTGGACAGAATAGACAGGGACAAACAAAAACAGAAATTGCTGGAAAAACCCAGAAGGGTCACTGGACTGAAACATTAACTCTGCTTTCTCTCCACAGATGCTGCTAGATCTTATGAGTTTCTCTAGCACTTTCTGTTTGTATTTCTGATTTCCAGCATTGGCAGTTCTTTCAGTTTCCTTGTATAGACAGGGACGATCAGCCGTGATCATATTGAATGATGGAGTAGGCTGGAAGGGCTGAATGGCTGCCTTCTGCTCCTAGTTTCTATGTTTCTACTGGTGGAAGCTTCAAGAACCAGAGGGCACAGATTAAAGGCAATTGGCAAAAAAAGCTAAGAGGAAAAGATTTTTCACACAGCAAGTGGTCAGGATCTGAATATGCTGCTCTGTGTGTTGTGCGCATGTGTGCATGCGCGCGAGGGGTGGAGGTGGTTCAATCAGAGCTTTCAGTCAGGAATTGGAGAATTGTCTGAGAAGCAACCAAATGGTCTAGCCTAAGGGCAGATAGCAGAGGACTGGCACAAGGTGAATTGCTCATGGAGAGAGCTAGCAGAGACATGGCAGGCCAAATGAACTCTTTAGACTGTTCACTGAATCTATAGTTTTCTCATTTCTGTTTTTTCTTTAAACTATACCTGAGAGATCATTGTGGGGCGCGTTACGTTATGAAGGAAAGCTTTTTGCTCATGGTTTTAAATCGATGAGCCATGGTTACTGAACCACTTGCCAGAGGGAACAGCTTCTCCCCACTTGGTTCATCAAACTCCTTCAGAATTTTGAACATCTCTATGACATTTGACTGATGTTCTCTACTGGGAGAACAATCCCAGCTTCTCCACTCTTTCCATCTGATTAATTGCTGCTAAACCTACTCGGTACTGCTTCCAGCCTTTTGCAACCTTCCTAAGTTGTACACAAAGCTCCAGCTAGGGCTGAACCAGTGGTCTACAAATGTTCAGCCTGGCTTCTTTGTTATTATGTTCAATGTCCCCGTTTAAAAAGCCACATTGTTATGTGCAGTTATTTAACCATCTTAGCAACTTGACCTACCACCTACAAGGATTTGTAAATATGCACTCCTAGGCTCCCACTATATTTCCCTCAAAATTTATATGATTATGTCTCTCCATCGGGTTTCTCTCAACTGTGTCATTTCAGATTTATCCACATCAAACTATATCTGCCCATTTCAGTCAGTCCCTTTCTCTAACTGTCCTCACTATTATGTTGCCAAATTTTGAATCGTTTGCAAACTTTGAAGATGTGCTGCCTGTACGCAGTTTGGGCTGTCACTATTGACTCACTGTGTGTGTGTGTGTGTGTGTTGCAGTGTGAAGAGCATCTCTCTCACTGTACTTTCTGCCTCATTCCCTGCTCTGAGGCTGCTTGGCCTGTGAGACAAAGGTGACACTGACCTTTCTACCAACAGAATAATCTCCAGGTAACCCTGCGACCAACACCACTGACAGATCCCTTCTCCAAGTCATAGTGATTCACTGCAGTGTTCCTTTAATTCTCCTCTCACCCTATCCCACTCCTACTCTATTCACCCCTCTTTAACGGAAGTTAATTAGCATGGGGAGGGTCTCAGCTATTTCCTGCACAAGTAGAAGGAAAGCATCAGGCATGGGAGCAGTGTCAGGAGGATTCTCTGCGGAATTGTTCGACAAAGTTCTTTTGTGTTTCAGAGTCTGGAGGAGTTGAACCTCAGCCTCAATCCTTTGGGTGACGGCTGCTCTCAGTCTATAGCCTCTCTCATCAAATCCTGCCCTCTACTGAGCACGCTGAAATTCCAGGCCTGTGGGCTCACAGCCAAGTTCCTGCAGAATTACCGCCTCCTGCTGACAGAAGCTATGAAAGGTAAGAGCCAGCTTCTGCTTAGAGCTAGCTGACTGCTGTGGTTTAATGTTCAGTGTGTATGTTCATCAAGACAACGGCCTAGTGGTATTAACTCAGAGACCTAGCTGATGTTCTGGGGACCTGGGTTCAAATCCTGCCACAGCAGATGGTGGAATTTGAATTCAGTAAAAAAAATCTGGAATTAAGAGTCTAATTGTTATCAATTGTTGGAAAAACCCAACTGGTTCACTGACGTCCTTTGGGAAAGGAAACTGCCATTGTTACCTGGTCTGGCCTACTTGTGACTCCAGGGTGAAGTAATGTGTGTGACTGTGTAATCTGAGCAATTAGGAATGGGTAATAAATGCTGACCCAGCCAGCGAAACCAACATCCTGTGAATGAATTTTTTTTTTTAAAGTTGTGAAATACTCCAAACCACATGTTATGGAGCCACGTGTTCAGAGGGGTGACCAAAATCTTGGTCAAAGATTGTACGGAGTGTCCTGAAGGGAAAAGGGGAGGTTTAGAAAGGGATTTTCCAGAACGTGGGACCTCGGCAGTGAAGACCCAGCTACTGGTGGTATGGCGTGTTTCAAATCAGGACATATACAAGGGGCCAAGGTGGTTAGACCGGAAGGTATCTGAGGGTTATGGGACTGGGATAGATACAGAGTTGAGAAGGGGCTGAAGTCTTTTTAACTCGAGGCTTAGCTTGACTCGGAGCTAATGTAGGTCAGCGAACAGAGGGCTGGTTGGTGAAGGGGCTGTGTTGTAAGTTTGGGATGAACTTAAGTTCACCGAGAGTGGAAGTATGTATGGATGTCTGTCTCTGGGATTCTACACACATAGTAACAGCTTGTGGAACAGTGATGTGCAGTTATCAGCGCAATCTCAGTTAACTGATGAAGTCACGACGCAATAAATGAAATAAATAGCCTTTGGTGCTGGTACCAATTTATGGTGTTAATGTAGCAGTGGGCGGGGCCCGTTGGAAGGGACTTCCAGATAGGCTGTAACCTATGCCTGTAACCTTCCACAGTTTGAGAGTCATAGAGTCATACAGCACAGAAACAGACCCTTCGGTCTAACCAGTCCATGCCGAACATAATCCCAAACTAAACTGGTCCCACCTGTCTGCTCTTGGCCCATATCCCTCCAAACTTTTTCTGTTCATGTATCTGTCCAAATATCTTTTAAACCATTGTAATTGTACCCATATCATCCACTTCCTCAGGAAGTTCATCCCACACACAAAGCACATTGTGTAAAAAATTTGCCTCCTCTGTCTTGTTTAAATATCTGTCCTCTCACCTTAAAAATGTGCCCACTCGTCTTGAAATCCCCTATTCTAGGGGATCTATCCATAACTCTAACTCTATCCATACCTCTCATGATTTTATAAACTTCTATAAGGCTGCCTCTCAACCTCCTATATTGCAGTGAAAAATGTCCCAGCCTTTCTTTATAACTCAAACCTTCCATACCCAACAACATCCTGGTAAATCTCTTCTGAACCCTGTCCAGCTTAATAATATCCTTCCTACAACTGGGCGACCAGAACTGTATTCCAGAAGAGGCCTCACCAATGTCCTGTACAACCTTAACACGATTTGCCAACTCCTACGGTCAAATGACTGAGCAATGAAGGCAAGCGTGCCAAATGCCTTTTTAACCACCCTGTCTATATGTGATGCAAACTTCAAAGAATTATGTACCTGCACCTCTAGGTCCCTCTGCTCTACAACACTACCCAAGGCCCTACCTTTAATTGTATAATCCCTTCCCTTGGTTGTTGTACCAAAATGCATTAGCTCGCATTTATCAAGATTGAATTCCATCTGCCATTTTTCAGCCCGTTGACCCACTTGATCAAGATCCCTTTGTAATCTTAGAAAACTTTCCTCACTGTCTACTTTGCGATCAATTTTGGTGTCGTCCACAAATTTACTGACCATGTGAATGTGAAATTGATGTGAAATTAATCAGTCTGGCCACAGGAAAGGACGATGAGAAAACTCTTTTTGGATGCTATTGACCAGGACTGTGGCTCCCAGCACTCAGTGTGGTGGTAGATGTGTGTATATCGTAAGGACAGGAAGTGCTTGCGAACACGTACTCTGGGGAGAGAGGGAGGTGGTGGGGACTGTGTGGATTCGAACTGCCTATTGTCCCCGTCCTCACACTGACCTTACTGACATTTCTCCTGTTTTCACCCAGGCGCAGGGCACTTGAAGACAGTCTGCCTGTCACACAATGCTCTGGGCTCAGTAGGAACTGAGCTGATCCTACAGAGCCTGCCTCAGCACACCGTCAGCCATCTGGATATCGCCGCCGTGATCAGTAACCACGGTGACACTTTGGTAATGGAGCACCTTGCCAGATACCTGTCCCAGGTCAGTTCTGAGAATAAGTGCAGGGAGAGTCTGTACGTGCTAACATTATTTATCAGGCTAGTTCATCTGCGCACTATTTGTTTTTAAATGTATCTCATTGATCAGCATTCTGTGATCGGTTAATGGTACGTGTCTGTCTCTCTCCTCCTCATATCCAGGGTGATTGCAATCTGACCCATCTTAACCTCTCTGGGAATCACCTGACTGATGATTCTGTCAGAGATCTGTGCAGGTAACTCTCTTTTAATACTGCACTCCAATGCTCTTCCCAGTTTGAGTATCTCCTGGCCGCAGAACAAATATTGTCAATGATCTTCTCACTGCAGTGAGCATTCTCTCGCTGTCTCTCTCGCGCGCTCTCTCTCTCTCTCTCTGGCGTGCTGTCTCTCGCTCACTCGCCCTCTTGCCCCCTTGCACTGTCTTTCTTTCTCTCTCTCTCTCTCTCTCTCTCTCTCACACACCATATAGTGGCTTTGCACCTGAGACACGATGAGGTAAGCCAGAGGAACACCCTCAGCCAGCGCTGGGTTTGGACCCAAATTGTTGGAATTACTCTGAGCAAACAGTCGTTCGCCACCAGGTTAATGATCCACTGCTGCCTTTTTTAAAAAAAACTTTATCGGTTGTGGGTATCTTGGTTACCCATCTTAAATTGCCTTTAACTGAGCTTGCTCATCCATTCCAAAAGGTCATTAAGAGACAGCCACATTGCTGTGGATCTGGAGTCACTTGTAGGCCAGACCAGGCAAAGATGGCAGTTTCCTTCCCTAAAAGTCATTTGTGAACTTAGATGACTTAGTTCTCTTCACTGCTTTAAACTGAAAGTAAAGCTCTCTCTATACTGCTCCTCCATCAAGCACTCCCAGGACAGGAACAGCATGGGGTTAGATACAGAGTAAAGCTCCCTCTACACTAGCACTCCCAGGACAGGAAACAGCATGGGGTTAGATACAGAGTAAAGCTTCCTCTACACTGTCCCCTATCAAACACTGCCAGAAAAGGGATAGCACGGGGTTAGATACAGAATGCTAAATGATAATGTTGCGCCTCTCGATTTGATCTGCTTCAGGTGCCTGTTACTGTGTCCATCCCTGGTTTCTCTGGATGTTTCAGCCAATTCTGGGATAACGACAGTGGGAGTGGAGATGCTGTTTGGTGCGGTGAGAGAGCGGAGCTGTGGAATGCAGTACCTGAATGTTTCTGGTGGGTACTGGGGCCACAGCCTGGTGTGTAGCAATGCAATGTGATCTGATCCAGGGGGTGTGTGTGTGTGTGGGGGCGGGGTGAGGGAGACGGTGTTGCTGAGTGCGCTGAACCACGGCTCTGTGACTCACAGCCCCTCAGGGAACTCTTCCGTTATTCCCCCCCACAAACTCCTCAGTTTCTGACTCTATCCTTCAAAACCATTTTAACAGTGTACATCTGTAAATGAGCTTCGGTAACCTCTCCTACTAGCCAATCAGATGTTTGGATGTTGACTGTACTTCAAAACACTCCTGTGAAGCACCTTGGCAATGTTGAAGGTGCTATGTGAATGCAGGTTTTTGTTGACTTCTTCAGCACTGATTGTCAATCGCTGATTCCCGATTGGGATCAATGACTGTGTTCCCTGGCTCATTGACTTGCTGATTGAGAGCCACCCGCTGCCTGTGTGTAGACTGTCAGCCCAGGACGGGGCAGGCCCTTACCCAGGGGTGACTAACAGACTAGAGAAAGCCAAGAGTAAACACAGCCCATGACCAGTGACCGGCAGTAACTGCTCGCTAACCGAGAGAGCCTAAGCCAGGAGTGCATCGTCACCGTCATCGTCATTCCCGTCACAGCACAGACAGCAGCAATGAACCTCAACCATCTGCAGGATCTCGGAGGGTAAATGTGCCTCAGGTTAACGTCACATTCGTAGAATCATAGAAACCCTACAGTGTGGAAACAGGCCCTTCAGCCCAACAAGTCCACACTGATCCTCAGAACATCCCACCCAGAAACATCTCCCTATAATACACCTAATCTACACATCCCCGAACACTACGGGCAATTTAACATGGCCAAACCACATAGCCTGCATATCTTTGGACTGTGGGAGGAAACCGGAGCACCCAGAGGAAACCCACGCAGACACAGGGAGAATGTGCAAACTCCTCACAGACAGTCACCCGAGGGTAGAATTGAACCCGGGTCCCTGGTGCTGTGAGGCAGCAGTGCTAACCACTGAGCCACCATGCCACCCCATTCAAAAGATATACTTCCAGACCCTCCGGCAGTGCAGCATTCCCTCATATGACACTGCTTATGGAAGTCTGATGTACACACTCAGTTCCTAAGTGCAATTTCAACATACAACCTCTGGGTCAGCTGTAGGTGGACGATAAACAGTATCCTCGCCAGGGAACACCTGCACGTAGTGATCTTTGTTCTGATTTGCAGGCAGTTAAGAAAATTGACTTAGGAAAGAGTGGTCCATTTTGTACTGGTCTCGGGGATGATGCACTGACCAGCGGTTTGCTCCCTGTTTGTCTTTCAGGCTCCTCTGTCCATGGCCCATCAAACGTCACGGCCCTCGGAGTAAAGCTTGGTGAGCTGAGGCTCTGCAGCAGCTGTCTCGATAAGTACGAGAAGGACAGTGTGCTGAGCAGCTGGCAGGATGGGGTAGCACACAAGGTTCAGACTGTGTCCCACCTCCACAAGTGTCTGATCAGGGCACTGCCCAGCAGCCTCTCCTAAAACACAGTCCTCCTTTCACACATGTCGCTGTTTATATGTAACTAACATATTTTTATCTGTGCATTTTGTTCTGATTGTACAATATGTATTAAACTAGAGATATCTACAGACTGTGTGTGTGTGTGTATCTGTGTGTGTCTGATTCTCACCTGCTGTTATAGACACTGCACCGTGACATCCACCTGCTGATCTCCCATGTCCGTGCGCTCAACAAACTCTCGCCAAAGTGACTGTGGAAATGTCAGGTTGTTCTAAAACCATCTGGCACACTCAGGTTCAGGAAGGAAGGAAGTCTGCCTTCCCTACCCAGTCCGGATTATGTGTGATACCAGATTGATTCCTGAATTCTGAAGCCATTCAGTTGCGTAAATACACCTGCAAAACTTTTGTTTTAAAAAGGATAGACCACTAGGCATTGACCTTCGTTTTGAATGGGTTCCCATTCTGCCTCCTCACAGGTTGGGTTCCCATAAGAAATAGAAACAGGAGTCGGCCATTCGGCCCCTTGAATCTACTTCTTCATTCAATAGGATCGTGGCTGATCCAACATTCCTCACATCCACTTTCCCTTGATTCCCTGACTGATTCCAAATCAATCAATCTCAGCCTTAAATATACACGAGGGCTCTGCCCCCACAGCTCTCTGTGGTAAGGAGTTCCAAAGACACTCAACCCTCAGAGAAGAAATTCCTCCTCATCTCAGTCTTCAATTGGTGCCCCTTTACTCTGTGACTGTGCCCTCTGGTCCTAGACTCTCCCATGAGAGGAAACATCCTCTCAGCATTGACCCTGTCAAACTCCTTAAGAATCCACTATATTTCAATGAGATTACCTCATTCTCCTAAACTCCCATTCCACCTCCTCAGATTTACAAACAAACCAAGGCTTGGTGACTATCATCTGATAATCTTTGGTTATGGAACTTGTTGCAATGAAAGCAGTTACTTTTACAAAGTCCTCCTTACTGATAAAGATGGCCTGGTACCAAATCTGAGAACAATGTTCCCACAGTCTAATCAAACAAGAATCTGACTCATAAACTTGCACTCCACAGACAATATCCCAGACACCACCAGCATTAGGTATGTCCCATTCAGTCATGACAATTAAACAACTCACTGGAGGAGGAGGCTCCACAAATATCCCCGTCCTCAATGATGGAAGAGCCCAGCACATCAGGGCAAAAGATAAGGCTGAAGCATTCACAGCAATCTTCAGCCAGAAGTGCCAAGTGGATGATCTATCTCAGCCTCCAGTATTACAGATACCAATAATGATATCAGCCAATTCAATTCACTCCATGTGATATCAAGAAACAGTTGGAGACACTGGATACTGCAAACGCTACAAGCCCTGACAACATTCCGGCAATAGTACTGAAGACTTATGCTCCAGAACTTGCCGCTCCCCTCGCCAAGCTGTTCCAGTACAGTTACAACACTGGTACCTACCTGACAATGTGGAAAATTGCCCAGGTATGTCCTGTACACAAAGTAGGACAAATCAAACCCGGCCATTTACCGCCCCATCAGTCTCCTCTCGATCATCAGTAAAGTGATGGAAGGTGTCAGTAACAGCGCTATCAAGCAGCACCTGCTCAGCAATAACCTGCTCAGTGACGCCCAGTTTGGGTTCCGCCAGGGCCACTCAGCTCCTGACCTCATTACAGCCTTGGTACAAACGTGGACAAAAGAGCTGAATTCCAGAGGTGAGGTGAGAGTGACAGCCCTTGATATCAAGGCTGCATTTCTTGCAGCACGGAGAGGGTGGTGAGCCACAGTGAGATCAATGACAATCCTGTGCAGTGATTCTCTAACTCGAGCTATAACTGGGAGGCTGCTGAGCTTCAGGCACTGAAACATCAAGAAGGGCGAAAAAATCTCAACACTGTTTTCCACCTGGTAGATCAATTCCCAACGCTGAACAAGGGAAAGGCATTGGATATGGGCCTTTGAAGATAATTCCGATTTGGTTTGTCATCAGAGACAGGAAGGGTGTGACCGTGAAGGAGGGGATCGAGAAGGTAGTGCTACAGGTCGTTTACCTTTTGCAGTTGGTCTGGATAAGAGAGGGTGAGCAAACTGACTATAACCACATTGTTCAGGGAGATATTCAGGCTGAGGGAAAGTAGAACAAATGTGGTGGTAGTTATGTCAGTCTAATCAGGAAGATGGACAACTCTCAGCAGCTGAGAAACTGCCCTCTACACCCTGAAAGCTGTGTTTCCCATCCATGTGCCACGTGCTCTGGTCTAAAGAGGGATTGACAGTGGCTGGGGAGGATACAGTGCTTGTGTTCCAAGGTGGTATCAGTAAAACCTGAGAAAGGCCTGTTAGTCCCAACACTGCTTCCCATTAGCTAACCAAACCTCAATCCACACTGACATTATCCCCTCAACCATGTGTTCTGGCATAAAATAGCATTTGGAAGTCCAAGTGCGTTACATCTACTGGTTCCTTTCCATCCCCTGAGAATGTTACTTCTTGAAAAAACAATCTGCTTAAAAATCAGTTAAACACTATTTACCTTTCACTGGTTGGAGATTCTAGAACTGGGAGCAGAATTTGTTCATTTAGGACCAGACCATCAGGAGAGATGTTAGGAAGCATTTCCGCACACACACAGGGTGGTAGATGTTTGCAATTCTCTTCCAAAAACAGCAGCGCATGCTGGATCAGTTGTTAATTTTAAAACAGATTGATAAGTTTTTGTTAAGCAAGAGTGTTAAGGGACATGGGCCAAAGGCAGGAATATGGAGTTAGGCCACGGAGCGGCGTTAGTCTCATTGAGTAGTGGAACAGGTTCCTGTGTTTTTGCACAGTCATGTTACCTGTGCCTGACCAAGTCATGGTTTTTGAAGAATCCTGCATTTATATTCCTTATTAACGGATTCGGCCATTATCCTCCTGACAAACATTTGGCCAAAATATCCCATCCCTGCTTTCTGCCTCCCTCCTTTCTTGAATAAAAGGTCACATTTTCCATTTTCCAATCCACTGGGATCCTTCATGAATTGAAGGAACTTTGGAACATTGGAACCAGTCCACCTATGAGCTGTGCTGTCGGTTCTTTGAAGAGCCTGGGATGTGGGCCAAATGCTCATTACACTGGGTCACCTTTAGGTCCATTACTGACCCCAGCTCAATCACTCTATTGGTTTTCCAGTGTCATTGGGAAGCTTTCTAACTCTTCCACAGTGATGCCTTTACCATTTCCTTGTTTTCCATCAGCAATGCATTTTAAAACCTTTCTCAACTTGTGTTTGTCCCATTCCGGATTTGTCTTTGGATTTACGGAGTTTCCTTTGTTCTGTTTCTGACGCTTCATATTGTTACTCTGCTCTTAGTCCACATCACTGTATCTTGGGACTCTCTCTGTATAAACAACAATACAGCACAGGAGTAGGCCCTTCAGCCCTCCAAACCTGCGCCAACACATTTTGCCCTTCCACACTAAAATTGTCTTCACTTACAGGATCCGTATCCCTCTATTCCCTTCCTATTCATGTATTTATCCAGGTGCTTCTTGAACGCTGCTATTGTGTCTGCTTCCACCACCTCCTCTGGCAGCGCGTTCCAGGCACTCACCACCCTTTGTGTGAAAAACATGCCTCACACATCTCTTGTAAACTTCACCCCTCGCACCTTGAACCTGTGTCTCCTTGTCCCTCCACCCTGGGAAAAGCCTCATACTTTCCACTCTATCCATGCCATTCACAATCTTATAAACTTCTATCAGGTTGCCCTTCAACTCAGTTTATCCAACCTTTCTTCACAGCTAAAATCCCCCAGACCAGGCAACATCCTGGTTAAAAAAAAAGCGGACAAAAACAAAGTTGCTGGAAAAGCTCAGCAGGTCTAGCAGCATCTGTGAAGATAAAAACAGATTTTTTTCACGGACCCGAAACGTTAACTCCATTTATTTCTTCACAGATGCTGCCAGACCTACTGAGCTTTTCCAACAGCTTCTGTTTTTGTCCCTGATTTACAGCATCTGCAGTTCTTTTGGTTTTTATTTAACATCCTGGTAAACGTTATCTGTACCCTCTCCAAAGCATCCACATCCTTATGGTAGAGCGGGGACCAGAACTGTATGCTAAGTGTGGTTTAACTAAAGTTCTATAAAGCTGCAGAGCTCAGACTGTCTCTCTCTGTATCTCAGTCTCTCTCTTTGTCTCCGTGTCTCAATGTCTTTCTCTCTGTAA